ACATAAACTTTGAAAACCAATCAGCTAAAGTTCTTTTCCAGGAAAGGCCCACACTGAGGAGAAACTGCTGGGATGGAATCAAAGTTGAGTAGAATATAAGCAAAATAGATGAATAAAAGATAAATTATAGATAAAACAAAGGAAGGATAAAGACACAGCAAATATTAGAAAGCAAGTCACCATATGTTTGTGCATTTCACAAAAACAATAGAAGAGTTACATTAAATATCTATCTCCTAGCGAAGCAATAAGCAACAGAAAGATGTTGAGATTAAATAGTACACCAATTCTTAAAAGAAAAAGAGATGATAATAAGTGGCTGGGCGTGGTAGCTCATGCCTGTAATCCCAGCACTTTGGGAGGCCGAGGCGGGTGGATCACGAGGTCAAGAGATCGAGACCATCCTGGTCAACATGGTGAAACCCCGTCTCTACTAAAAATACAAAAAATTAGCTGGGTGTGGTGGTGCGTGCCTGTAATCCCATCTACTCGGGAGGCTGAGGCAGGAGAATTGCCTGAACCCAGGAGGCGGAGGTTACAGTGAGCCGAGATCGCACCATTGCACTCCAGCCTGGGTAACAAGAGCGAAACTCTGTCTCAAAAAAAAAAAAAAAAAAAGATGATAAGAAGTAAAATAATATTCCTTCAGGCAGAGGAATTGTGGCAGAAAGATGTGGCCACAAAACAATTTGTTCATAAATTAACTATACACATTAGAAATAGTTATAAGAAATATAAAAACATAAATTATAATAACTAGAAATGAGGTAAAAGAGTTTATAAATACATTATAAATGAAATATAAAATAGAAATGAGGAATAAATTAGAGAAAACGCAAAAGCAAAGCATACTAGATAATATTTCAAGAGAAATAGAAAGTGAAAGCAAATACTTTTTTAAAAATTGGAAATAAATCAAGAGATAAAAAGGTATTTGAAACAATAACAAATAGTGGAGATTGATAAAGAAGATCCAACATAAGGATAAAAGGGGAGTTGGGGAAGGAGAAACAAGGGAACAGAACAAATGTACACCAAAGGTAATCCCTGAAAAAAAAGTGACTACATATTGAAAGATCCACATTGTTTTCATACACCTGAGGTTATCTGATAATATTGGCCCAGAATAATCAATATCAATGCATAGTCTAGTAAACTACTGAACTTTAAGGAAAAGAAAAAAGTAGGGGTTATCTAGGCAAAAATAACTGATGATTTATAAAGAAAAAATAGATTTTCATCAGACTTTTGACAGCAATACTTTATGTACTAAGACAATAGAATAATATATTTAATGATAATGTAAGAAAGAAAATGTACATTTGAATAAATATTTATTTGGAGAACTAAAATTAAATGAGAGTTTAATTTAAAAGGGAGAGAGTATTTTAATAGCCACATGCTCTGCCAATGTAAATATATTACAACTATGCTAAATAACATGGAAGATGACTGGAGAAACAATGTGGAAAACCGTAACCTAGTCCAGTAATCATAAGAAAAACTGTTATTTTGAGAATGTCATGTGTATAATGTGAAATAAAACTATTTGGTTTTATAAAATATTTTAATTGTACCATCCTCTGTTTCTTTGAGGAAAAAGGACACTTGTGGAAGAATGAAGAACTAGGTACACTTCATATGAAGTTAAATAAAAACTCCGTCCTGAAGTTGAAAGTGTAGCTAAGCAATTACTTTATCAGAATAAAGTAATGAGATATTTTTATAAACATACATTTAAAAATTCCAGCTCTTTACACTGAAAAAGCCAAAAAGAAAATCACAAGTTCTTAGCATGAAGAGGACGAATCTAGAATTATCAAAGAACACTAAGGTTATGTGTATAAGATTTAGAAATTTCCTTGGTATAACTTGAGTTTCAAAAGGATAAAATAGTAAGTCATTATTTTAAAAATAGGTGCATAAAAGAAAAATAATCAATTAATTATTTTGACTTACCTATGTAATGTATATCACTGAGTGAACAAACAGCATATGAGGTTAACTATCTCTACCAAATTCTTTCCACTAATACATGAACAAGAAAGGACACAATTATAAAAGTACTGTCTTGTAGTTGCTTATGAATTAATAGATCTAGGCATTGAGCATCAATAGCCAATAACATCCAGAAAGAGAGACAACCAGACACTGATGAATAAACCCCAAACTAATCACAGTTTTGCCAAAATGATAAACATTCTGATCAAGCATCTGGATTCAGCCAACAATTTGCAGGGAACACAGAGGAGAGAAAAACTATGCTGACTTTACTGTGAACATCAATATCAATACAATTCAGATTGTGAAAAACTTCCAATGTGAATTATCGGTATTTTTTAAGAGAACTGGAAGAAAAAAAGAAATAGAGAAGGGAACTAGTAGATTAATAGCAGCTTAAAAGACATTTCTTTTAAAAAAAATGGGTAAGACACAACTATTGTTTCTAGGGATGCCTATGGGATAAAACTATAAAGAAACGCAAAGAAGTAATAACTATAAAAATTAGAGGAATCAAAGGGAGTTATTGAATGACGCATATACAGAAGCTTCTGGGTGGCTGGCAAGTTCTATTTATTCATCTAGATGGTGTTCAAAGGATGTTGATTTTATAACAATGCATTAATTATACATTTATTTCATGAGGTTTTTTGTGCTTTATTTTATAATTTCAAAAAGAAAGAATGGTAGAGCATTGAAGGCATTTGCTTTTTGAGTGCCACATACAAAGCTTGTATAACAGTGCTTCACGTTTTATGATACTTTGCAGTTTAATCATCACTTGAATTATCTCATGATTTTCATAATAATCTAGTGACATTTAGAGATTGTTATTGTCCTCCTTTAAACATGAGGAAACAAACTGAAGGGTTTAGATCAGAGAACAAGTGAGAGTGGGCTTGAGGTTTAAACCCAAGCTTAGAAGCAATTCACCTACATGCCTGTAGCTACATACAACCACATCACACACATAAATGTGCACACTTACAAGGGGTATTAATATTTATAGGCAGATAGAAGATTTAGCAACAACACCCACTCCACCACCCAACACAGAGGTTGTAGTGATAGTAAAAGAAATGGCATCTGTTTGTTTTTTTCTACATTAAAGACATTATAAGTTAAGCTGTATACATTTGTCACTGTTTCTAAAAGACATTTTCACAGGATCTCTCATGACACCAAGTTATGTGCTTTATTGTTATGCATGTCATTGTACTTCCTATAATCCTTGTTGCTCAGACTTTTACAAGTTAGCTTCATTTTAAATGGTCTGAGATAAAGATAGTTAATATTCATTTAGCCTCTATTCTCAGCTCTATTTTATACCTGAGGAAAGTGTGGCTAACCAAACTTATGAGATTTGTCCTCATAGCAAAATATTTCAGAACGGGAATTTTAACCAGGAAGAGTACGATGACAAATCCTCAGCTTTCATCCAGCTGACTCCTCTGGGGCCTTTAATACTTGACAAATAATAGAGAAGAAAATGTAGTGCGGTGAATGCTGAGTATGTGAGAATGCTATTACCATCATTCTAGAGTATTGCAGAAAGTTGACAGTCATCAAAAATACAATTTCAGGAAGAAAGAAACATCCAAAGAATTAATGTGAATAATTTTCCAGGAATTCCAAATGTAAGTCTTGTACAAACCTGGACAACAAAATTTGTTTAGTAGGTACAAGCTGTGGGAGGAAGCACAGAACTCTCGGGAGTCATGCAATAGTGGTTTAGTAGCTGATTTCAGCAAGCCCACATTATATGACGTAGCTCCAATGGCATCGCAAAATCAAGCAGTGAAGATCACCTTCACATGCAAGCTTCCATGACAACACAAAATACCAGAAGAAGCAGGGCCATTGCAAAGGCTACTTTGTAATTAAACCTAAATAAACAGACATAGATCTAAGCAAATATTCATTATCTTGTGTACATTGGAAACCACTTTTCTAGACAGTTGTCAAATAAGTTACAAACCACAATCTCTTTAAGGTACTGTGTATATTAAGGAAGTGTTTATTTTCCTCAAGACAATGAATGATCTCTGACACAATCCTTTCAAAGAAAATATCTTATTTAAATCAAACACTACTTTGCTGATTTTTAAATTACAGAGAATTTGACCTTAGAAACTTAAATGATGTACCGTCTTACATGCAACATTATTAATCTTCTTTAAATTCTACATGTAAACAAAGTAAAACAAAGACATTGGGAATTTTACAAGACTACCTTATATTATTGCTGGAGATGCAAATCTTTATATTCTCTCAGTAAAACTATATTTATAAGAGGCAAGGATTTTTCAACCACACTTTCTTATTTGGCTCCAAATATCTTTCATATCCCCATTTGAGACTTGTCTAGGCAAATGAGAAGGTGAAACAAGTAGGCCAAATAGTACATCATGAAACTCTCAAAAGTAAAACATACATGGAATTGTAAAGGACAATGCTTACGATATTTGGTATTTCATCGTGACACCAATAAATTTAGAAGAGAATTCTTATTTTCCATTATTGCCTTAGTTTTTAAGTCCCAAATTATAACATAATTTATCTTAGTTGAAAAATTCGTGATAATCTTATACTTTAAAACTTAGAGGATAGTATATAGATAGGCTTAAATGCACATAGCGTCACACATAGAATCACAAATAATTATAAAAGAAAGTGATCCTATTCTTTCTGAAATAATTCCTATGTGCAATTTTTTTACTGTCCACCTATATTTAAAATCATAAATCAAATCTTAGCAGCATTAATTCACCATTGATACATAAAATCTTTACTAGAATTAAAAATATTACAAGGCCATTGAGTCATTAAAAAGAAAAGCTAAGGCTGGGTGCGGTGGCTCACACCTGTAATCTCAGCACTTTGGGAGGCTGAGGCAGCGAGATCACCTGAGGTCAAAAGTTTGAGACCAGCCTGGCCAACATGGTAAAACCCTGTCTCTACTAAAAATACAAAAATTAGCTGGGTGTGGTGGCAGGTACCTGTAATCCCAGCTACTCTGGAGGGTGAGGCGGGAGAATCGCTTGAACTCAAAAGACAAAGGTTGCAGTGAGCCAAGATCCTGCCATTGGACTCCAGCCTGGGTGACAAGAACAAAAAATCCATTTCAAAGAAAAAAAAAAGAAAAGCCAAATGGTTATAAGTATATTTAACAATACCAAATTTGCTCTGAAAGAATAAAGGATACTGTGTCACATAATCTTATTTCCTTTGATTATTGGTCTGTAATTTTTCTGAAAATTACAGAGAAACAATAAAAAACGAGTTTTGACATTCAAAGTCCGATTTGGGTATTTCAGCAAAGAGCATATACTATGATTCAATGACTTTGAGAAGCATTCTTTTTAAATAATAATTTTGAAAAGTCTCATAAATCCAAAAAAGTAAAATGCTTTTAATCTATTTTGAAATTCTATTAAAATATAACTCCTATATATCCAATACATTGCTTGTGATAGTTAAAAAAAAAAAACCCAGAAACTCAAAAACTATTTAAAGAAACCAATAAAATAATACTTACTGGTATTATCTACAGTACTCCTAATGTTCTGAAGAAGTCTAGTAAAAGCATTTGGGAATATTACTGCTGCCTTTTTAGTCCAGCATTTGAGAAAAGAATGAGCTGGAAAAGCATAAAAAGTTGTGTCATATAGACTTTTCAGGATGCCAGGCAAAACTAAGATGAAGCCAATGTCATATGAGTCAAAAGAAAAAAGTCTCTGCTTACATTCAGCCACTCACACTGCATATGGCATCTGACTGGATTACCAGAAGTGATGTTCCTTACCGTGGTAACCAGGCAAGGAAGGCAGAGATCATTGTGAGTAGGAAGTTCTATTTCTAGAACTTGTCATAGTCTGAACCATTACATTGTGAAATGACTACTTACTTTCATTTCTCATTTCTATTGAAATCTAAGAATATCACAATAGGCAACAAACAAAAAGGGGTTATATTTATTAATAATATTGCTTTTGCCAAGATAACTTCCTAGCTTTAATTTTTTAATTTTAATTTTAATTTTATTTTTTATTGAGACAGAGTTTCGTTCTTGTTGCCCAGACTGGAGTGCAATGATGCAGTCTCAGCTCACTACAACCTCTGCCTCCCAGGTTCAAGGGATTCTCCTGCCTCAGCCCCTACTGGGACTACAGGCATGCACCACCAGGCCTTGTTAATTTTTTTTTGTATTTTAGTAGAGATGGAGTTTCACCATGTTGGTCAGTCTAGTCTCAAACTCTTGACCTCAGGTGATCCACACCCCTGACTCAGCCTCCCAAAGTGCTGAGATTACAGGTGTGAGCCACCACACCTGGCATCCTAGCTTTTATTAAAATAACTGTGCATATTTCCATCCTAATGATACATATTTAATGTGACTTAGAAAGAAAAGACTGGAAACTACTGGGAACTGCAATGAACTATAACATAATCTGCAAACCTTTACTCAAAATAAGATCAAATATATAAAGAAATTTGCCACTTATCAAAAAAGCTTCTGATTTCATAAAGTAGAAACTCAGTTGTTTAGATAGCACTTCATTATGGCTAGACATAGACTCTTGTGACTTCCACCATCAAATGTTTGTTAAAATACACTTTATAAAATATTTTTAAAATAGTCTAACAATGCAAAATTGGAATATAGTGTCACAAAGCTAGATACGATTTCTCTCCTTGCTTTCCTTTCTAAAAGTAAAAAAAATCCCCCATCCTGTGTAAACAGAAGTTAAAATATGATGCACATGGTAGAGTTCTTAAAAGAAAATTCTAAATTTTTTTGGACATAGAGAGATATGGAAGCCTTATCACAATTCTCCTAACCACTTAAACTCTCCTCTTCTAACATTTTATGTGCTATATTTTACTTAGTGGAAAATAATCTTCTTCCTGTATTGCTCTTCCAGCTGCTGAGTTGTACACAAATTTATAAACTTGAAATATAACATTTGAAAAAGAGAAAAGATTAGTTTAACATAAAATAAATGACTGAGAAATCAGCATAAGTGGGACCATTTAAAGTGATCCAATTTAAGTAGTAAATAGGAATAGTACTGATAAAAACAACCTTATTTTTGCATAATATTGGCAATTTTTCATAGTGTCTCAAACAAAAATTGTCATTGGGTACTATTTTTAATACTTTGAATTGACATTTGACATTTGTACTCGCTAAGGAAAAGCAAAACAAAACCAAAACTGGAAACCAGAAAATAATAAGGAGCTTTTGATAAACAGTACAAAAGAAATCTTAAAATATTCCTTGAAATATATGAATTTTTTGGAAAATATACCACTTAACAGCATTATGAGGATTTTGTTTCTAAATTCTCATAACCAAGAGATAAGTGTTGAAAAACAGTTTAAATTTTTGTTCACGATACCTGTTTTCTTAATAATATTTAAAATATATAAATACAGAAAAATAAAGTAACAAATGGCAGGACTTCAATTTTTACAAATGCATATACAATAAAAGTTTGGATGAAAAATGCAGAGGGCTGAGTAACAAGTCAGTCAATAAAGAGTTTAGGGTAGTTTGAACATTTAATGTTCCATGGCAGCTCCTGCTTCCTGAAAGCATACTGATGTCTCAGACAGAAATGGGATCTTCGTCTGTAGTACCCAGATCTCAGCATTGACATAGCTGTGCTTTGTTCTTTACCATTTGTATTTAATTAAATGATATTCAAAACATTTTTATTTCACGAAATAAACCTAGCTTTATTCATTTTTAAAAATTTCAAACATAGAAATTTCTGCCTGAACTCTGGGTGGCATATTCAGACACACCTCATCTAATGGCAGACATAACAGCAAAAACTAAAGTTTAGCATTAGCTTTCATAGGAAAAGTAATTTTCAGTGATTTACCTCTTACCCTGTTACATGTGTGATTTAACATATTCTAATCATTTTTGGAGTCTTATAATTGATATAAGTAATACCTCTATATAGGCTACCTATTTTATTGAATTTTAATAAGATATGACAATACATGCCAAATAGAAGAACTTTGGATTAGCCCTATCCCCAAATTCACTGATGATGTCCAGATATCATTCCACATATTTACACAACCCAACTCAAATGTAAACTGACAATGAAAGACCCTTCCAAATTCATTTCCATAAAGATTTAGGGAGAACTACTAAGCCAGTTAATATGAGACAAAGAATACTATTTTATGTTCAATGACATTTTTCTAAATTTTTTTGGCAAAAAAATTATTGTAATTAGGCTAAATATCAAATGTGTCTTGTTGACTCTTGTCAGACTCAGAAGAAAACAGGACATTTCAGATTTTGACATTTTCATTCATTTTTGAATAGACTAATAATGACAGAGATCCAATTCTAGAGGTAATCATCCTGTTTATACAGACTGTCCAAAATGAGTGTACTATTTCACTTAATCAACTTTTAAATGATTCTTCTTAAACTGATAGCATTGATACAGGAACACTGAAATTAAAACAAGAAAATCTTTATTGCATTTTCTCATGAGAGAAAAGAGGTGGTAAAAGATTAAATGTCCATATTTCCTAGGTTCTTTGAGTGTCAGTAAGGACAAAGTATTTAAGTCTGTACATGATGCTTAAGTTACATGCTATCAATACATAGTTAATAATCTTTTCAAAAGACATCACTGATTTTTTTATATTGGATATTGCTTTTGGTGTTAAATCAATCCTAAGATTATGAAATGTAGCCACTGAGAAACTAATAGGGGAATAATAGTTATTTAAATAAAATTTGTATTTTGTTTTTACTACTGTGAAAACGTCTGAAACCATTTTGGATATCTTAATTTTTATCAAGACTGATTCATCTGTTTTATTTATTTCAAAAATATTATTATGCTGTTATTTACAGTCATGATTCCAATTCACATTTTGAAAAAGCATAAAGTTGGAGGTCTTATGTGATTTCAAATTTTAAAGAAAGTTCATTAATCAACACAGTATGACATCAATGCAATAGTAGATATGCAGATCAATAGAATAGGATAAAGAACCCAGTAACAAACCCAGACATTTACAATAAATTGGTTATAACAAAGATGCCTGGGCAATCTAAGGAGAGAACAATAATCTTTAGCGCAAGTGCTGTTAGAGCAAGTGGACAGCTGTACGCAAAACCAAACAAAACCAAACCTTACATACTTACTTCACACCATTGACAAATTTAAATCAACATGGATCCTAGACATGAGTAGAAAAATTAAAACTATCCACATTTTAAGAAAACATCCAGTAAACAATGTGTGTCCTTAGGCAAGAATTTCTTAGACATGATTCTGAAAGCCCGATTCTCAAAATAAAAATTGGCGAATTTGACTTCATCAAAAGAACAGAAAATGAAACACCGCATATTCTCACTCATAGGCGGGTGATGAAAAATGAGAACACATGGACACAGAGAGGGGAGTACTAAACACTGGGGTCTATTGGGGGGAAAAGGGGAGGGCCAGTGGGAGGGGGAGGTGGGGAGGGATAGCCTGGGGAGAAAAGCTAAATGTGGGTGAAGGGGTGAAAGCAAACAGAACACACTGCCATGTGTGTACCTATGCAACTGTATTGCATGCTCTGCACATGTACCCCAAAACCTAAAATGCAATAAAAAAATAAGAAAAAGAAAAAAAATTGAAAACTGATGGTATTCGAAAGATACCATTTCAAAAATGGAGAAACAAACCACAAAGTGAGAAATATATTTGCAATTCATACATATAAAAAACATTTGTATCCAGAATATGATTGTTATCTATTGCTGAATTACTATAATACTTAGCATCTCAAAACAACAAGCCATATAGTTTTGAGGGGCAGTAATTTGGAAGTGGCTTAGCTGAGTGGTGCTGGCTCAGGGTGTCTCAAGACAGGCTGTCGGCCAAAGCCACAGTCATCAGGAGGTAGAAATTGTGCTTCCATGCTCACTCACATGGTTGTTGGCAGACCTTGGTTGCTTATTGGCTGTTGGAAAAATACCTCAGTTCCCTAGTCCCAGAGCCCCATTATAGGCTATCTGATTGTTCTCATGGGAGGGCAGCTGGATTCTCCACAGTGAATGATGCAAAGGGGTTTGGTAGGGGAGAGAAAAACGCTGAGATGGAAAACACAGTCTCTTATAACCTAACCTTGGAAGTGATATACCATCATTTCTGCCACGTTGTTTGGCTCTGTTGGTCAGACCAATTCTGGAGCAGTGAGGCAGGCACTACTCAAGGGTGTGAAGGCTAGAAGGCAAGGCCATCTGGCTATTGAATGGAATACATAAAGAACATTTGAAACTCAATAATAAGGTGACAAATAACAAGAAAATGGGCAAAATATTTCAATGGGCACTTCACTAAAGAAGATATATGTATGGTTAAAAAAATAAAAATAAATAAAAACGCCAAATGAAGACATGCTCAACATCATCAGTCATTAGTGCAAATTAAAATCATGATGAGATATTATATACCTACTAGAATGACTATAATCAAAAAGACTGATCATAGAAAGTGCTGGCAAATATTTTGAGAAACTGGAAGCTTCATACATTATTGTTGGGATGTACAATGGCACAACCATTTTGAAGAACAGTTTGGGAGGTTTTAAAAATTAAGCATCCACTTACCATATGACTCAGCAATTCTAATGTTAGGTATTTATACAAGAGAAATAAAATCATCTATTCACATATCCACATAAAGATTTGTACATAAGTGTTTATAAAAGTCTCACTTATAATAACCTAAAACTGGAAATGACCAAATGTCCATCAACAGGTGACTAGAAAAACAAACTGTGCTATCAGTACAGTGGAATGATACTCAGCAATAA